AATGACAAATATTGCTGTTAACATTCATTATAATTCTTTGAAATTTATTACATAAACTCAGCACCATGCATAGTGCAAAGCCATCCTTTTGCTCCTAGAGTTTATAGTTAAAAGAAAACAAGCTAGCGAAGTGACTCTTGAAAGGTTCCATAACTAGCTTTTCTCTTTCCTATTTAGCTTTTCATTTTCTTTTTGTGGTTGTTATCATTTCTTTCTTCATGCAGAGGGAATGGAATGGGGAAGAGGATAGTAGACAGGTGGTTAGGAAAAGGGAAAAGTCAAAAGAGAGGAGAGGACCAGAAGTAATTTAATTCAATCCTGCAAATACTTATGTAAGTTACTATGTGCAAATTATTGTATAGCAAAGCAAAATTAAGAAGATTAGGGGAGAGAGACACAAAGTAAAAAGAGAGAGATGAGAAAGGTTACAAAATACAGAGCAGTTTTCCATCAGTCAGCCCATGCTATTTGTTTTGTCACTGGTGCTTCTAGCTGCTCCTAGATACTCCCATCCAGAGATGGAGAGAAGGTGGCCCGACAGGGGAAGAGTCTTGGCATCAGTTTTGAGCTGCTGGGGTCTATTTTATAACTCTTTACTCATAGTCAAAGTAGAGTACTAAATGTAACCACTGGGATTTTCTCTTTCAAGACATGTGAAAAACTCTTTCAAGAAGAGGAGTTTCTACCATTGGATCCAACTCAGGAATTTATATTCCCCCCTGAACTAATGGTGAGCCAGACACAGCTGTACTTATGCTGTAAGAATTCATGATAAGGTACCAAGTGTCAAAGCAATGGGTAATTTTCTAGGCTCCTTCTTGAAGATGAATAATATCTAGTCAACATTCTGGTTCAGTGTGCTTGGGGAGGAAAGGAGAGTAGGGTGAAAGACTAGAGTCATAATATGGGAAACTTTTTTATTTTTCAAGAAGTACACTCATTAAAAATGCTGCTATTAGGCTCTATGTGGAAATATTCCCTTGAAGCAGAAAAAAAATCTCATTATGCTTTTTGGCCTAATGCTTTTTGTTAAAATTTTATGTTCATATTCCCTGAGAGAGTCAAACTATTGTAATTATTACAAATCACTTTCATTACTACTTTAAAGATGGTGAACAGTCCAAGAATAGAACAAAAATGTAGAGGAGACAAGATGTGTAAATCACAAGATAATCTTGATGTTTTATTGATTTTCCACCAGAACAGGGCTGAGAAACAACCTAAAAGAACAAGGGTTTTCTATGGGGAGCGAATAACCTGGATTTCTCCTGTAACACTAGGAGGCCTTCTGGAAGTGAAAGCCAAGTATCCAGATGCACCAATTGTCATGGGAAACACCACTGTGGGTATGTAGAAACCAGGGAGCTTGTTCCATGTGGACATGGTCAAAAGGTTTTGAATAATCCTTCATGCACCGAATGCTTTCAAAAGAAGCAATAGAACTCCTGATGTTTTTGTCATTCATCAACTGTTACCATGATTTCAAGATTCGAAAGACAACTGCTTTGGTTCCTTAAAGTCTTATTCTGATTTTTTTTACCCCTTTAGGACCTGATATGAAGTTCAAAGGGATTTTTCACCCAGTTATCATATCTCCTGATGGAATTGCAGAACTGAATGTTGTAAATTATTTAGACAATGGTGAGTTCTTAGATTCTCTGCTTATTGGCTTATGATGCATTAGGCACATGATTTATTCTGCCTAATGGGGAATTAAAAGTAACAACTCTTCCTGGTTATTTTAAAGTACGAAGAGAAAATTTGGCAATTAAGTCTTGCCTCTTCTTAAAAAAAAAAACCCAACTATTGATTCTTTTTTGTTTTTTACATGTCATTTCTCAATATATCAATACGCCCCCATCAAACCAATCTTTGTAACAAAGAAAAGCAGTTAAACAAAACAATCTGATACAAAGATCACCTTTGAGAGCATTTACCACCTGCTACACTAACAGCCCCTACCTCTTTACCATGAGGAGGGAAGAGTGTTTCATCAGCTTTTTTCTAAAACTAATATTGGTCATTACAGTTAATTGGAGTTTGGTTGCCTTTTAGTGTTGTTTTCATTTTACATTGTGCAGATAGTACTCCTGGTTGGGCTTATTTCACTGTGCAATAGTTCATACTAGTTTTCCCGTGATTCTCTGAATTTCATGTAGTTATCATTTTCCTTAGAACAATACATTTCAATTGTATTCATATAGCATAATCTTTTTTCAACTGTACTCCAATCACTGGACACTCATTTTATATCCAGTTTTTGTTTCGTTTTGTTTTGTTTTTTGCTATCACAAAAAGGGCTGCTAACTGTTCAAAGCGTTCTTTTGACTTCATTTTCCTTGGGGTGCAGGTCCAGTAGTAGAATTACTTGGTTAAAGGGTACGAACAATGTAGTCACTTTTCTCCTTGCTACCTTCTCTTTAGCAATTGACAAATCTTGAGACTAAGTTATCCTTTATTATTGAATAATCAGCTTATGATTAAGGGAATCTTAACTATAACTAAGCAGTATCAATCAGGTCAGTTGGCTTAATAGGTAGTGTTAAATAAATTTGCCAGCCTACAAAGTGTTCATTCTTCCTTTCTATTTTCATTGAAGTGCCTCATCTGTTGCTTAGCAATAAAGTACCATGATAGTTTTTTTTTTCCTGATCCGAAGCTTGAAACTATGGTATGATTCTGTGACAAGGTTAGGTAACTAACATTGCTTATATCTTATTGATTTTAAATGTCTTGATTTCAGGGCTAACAATAGGTGCTGGATGTAGCCTAGCCCAGTTGAAAGATATCCTGACTGATGTGGTCTTGGATCTTCCAGTAGAGAAGACTCAGACTTACCAGGCTCTTTTAAAGCATCTGAGGACGCTGGCTGGATCACAGATCAGAAATGTGGCCGTAGGTGTTCTCCCTTCCATGCTAACCCTTGTAATGTGATTGTTATCAGAACTACATGACACATGTTCAGTTTGATCAGGAAGAGATAGTATAGGTCCCCAAACCTTGGTTAATTCTTTTTGCATTTGTGTTTCTAAGTATTAGCAATGGAATAAAGATGCTAACTTTTGTCTTCTTTACAAAGTCTTTAGGGGGCAACATCATCAGTAGACATTCAACATCAGATCTGAATCCCCTTCTGGCTGTGGGTAACTGTACCCTTAATCTGGCTTCAAAAGGTAAGTTACAAGAAAAGTGTCAGAAAGGGGCAGCTAGGTGGTGCAATGGATAGAGCACTAGCCCTGGATTCAGGATGACCTGAGTTCAAATCAAGAATCAGACAAATAACACTTATTATCTGTATGACCCTGGACAAGTCACTTAACCCCATTATCTAGCAAAAAAAAAAAGAAGAAAGAAAAAAGTGTCAGAGGTGGAGCCCTGATGAATCAAACCAATAGAACAGGAGAGGACTTCAAGTGATTATCTAGTCTAGTCTCACCTCCTGCTTTCAAATAGGACTGTACCTAAATCATCACAAAAAAATAAACATTTTCATGTCAAAGACCACTTTGGCCGTAGTGTGAGGCCTATTGATCCCTTTAATGCTTTTAAATACATAAAATAAAATGTATAGGATTGTAGAAAAAAGCACTTGTATTGAAACACAGTCATGAATATATTTTAAAAAACAAAGGAAAACCCATTCATGGACTCCAGGTTAAGGATCTCTGATCTAAGCCAACAAATCTGAAATAATCTCTATCTCACAGACCCTGGATAGGTATATCTGTATTTCAGTCCCTAAATTGGTCCAGCTTCTTTTTCCTTTTAGGTATAGTGTAGGGGTGGTGAACTTGTGGCCTTGAGGCCACATGGAGTCTTCTAGGTCCTCAAGTGCAACCCTTTGACTGAATCCAAACTTCACAGACGGTCATATGAGGGATTGAGGCTGCAAGTTCCCCACCCCCGGTAGTGGATAGAGAGTTGGCCTCAAAGCTAGGACTGTGATGTGCATTAGCTGTGTGACCAAGAACTGTTCTCAGAGCCAGGTCTCTCATTCAAACCAGTTATATGACAGTGTCATATATTGATCTCAAATAGGTGCCATAGAAGCTATAAAAAGAGCCATGTGGAGCTTCAAGTGAGCAATTGTTCTAATAGGGGTTCTCTGTCTTCTGAGAGGTTTTAACCACAAATAATTCAGAAATAGCTAATTTTCTCCACCTTGTTGACTTTCTTGAGCCCCTCATAATTGGTTAGGTTCCATTATAATGAGATAACAAGAATTTGTTGGCTCAAGAATTTTCACTGTCTGTATCTGAAAATATGGAATATTGGATCAGATGAGGAGATGCTTTTCCTATGAGTAAAGGTAGGGTCCACAACATGCAGAGCTCCCAAATTCTTTGGCAAGAATGAGAGTATTCAGTTGTTGCTACTATTCCTTTTAAAAGGTCAAGAAATAAGACTGCCTGGAATAGTGGAGAGTGATGGATTTGGAGTCAAAGGACCTGGTTACAAGTACTAGCTTTACTGTTTATTTCCTCTCTGGCCATTAGCCATTTTACCTCACTTGTCCTCAGTTTTCTTATCTGAAAAATGAGGAAACTGCATTAGTTTATCTTGAAAGTGGTCTGAATCTTTGACCCTCAGCAAGTGGTTATGTAGTCATTGCTTGAGTATTTCTTCCAATGTGGAATTCCCTCCCCCTCTGTACCAGATCATTTTATTTTTTTAACAACTCGAAACAACTATTTTTTGGGGAAGCAATTGTTAGGAAGTTCTTCCTTATACTGAAAGTCTATAACATATTCATTGGTCCTATTGCATCTCTCTGGATCTGCATATAATAATTTTAATGCTTCTTACACATGATTGTTGTTGAGTCATTTTTCAGTCGTGTCTGACTCTTTGTGACCCCATCTGGGGTTTTCTTGGCAAAGATACTAGAGTGGTTTGATATTTCCTTATTAGTTCATTTTACAGATGACGAAACTGAGGCAAACAGGGTGAAGTGACTTGCCCAGGGTTACACAGTCAATGTCTAAGTCTGGATTTGAACTCAGCAAGAGGAGTCTTCCTGACGTAAGGCCTGGCACTCTATCCACTATACCACCTAGCTGCCCCTTCAAATACCTGAAGTTGACTTTCATATAAGTGGGAGAAACCATGGCAAAGTTGATATAGATCCATCCAGAACAACCTGAATTCAAGTCCTATCCATGACAAATACTAGTTTATAACCCTGGAAAAATCTCTTAATCTCTCAGTGCCCTGGGTAACTCTCTAAGACTAAATGTTTCAGGAAAAGTGCCAACCTGCATCGAGTGGGAATCTCATCAACAGAATTTACTTGTATCAGTGAAACCAAAGAACTAGCACCTATGATCTCAGCAGAGACCAGTAGAAAGTGTCTGGAACACAGTCGACATTTTTATAGATATTCTTTGGTTGATTTATTTGTTGAAATAGAATCAGATGACTTGGGTTCAAGTCCTGACTATGACACTTAATATTGGTATGATTTTTAGGCAAATCACTCTCTAAATTTTAGTTTTTTCATTTGTAAAATGAAGGGATTTAGATTAAATAACCTATAACTAACTCCTTTCCAACTCTAAATCTATGGCCACATGCTCTTTTACTAGGGCTTCTCCTTACTAGGCCAAATATCTCCAAGTCACTTAACTGTTCTTCATATGACATCTTTTGAGTGTCCTCACCATCCTGGGTGGCCTCCTTCTAATGTTCCTCTTGAAATGTGGTCCCCATATCTGAACACAGAACTCTATTTTCTTTTCTTTTCTTTTCTTTCTTTTTTTGGCTAGGCAATGGGGTTAAGTGACTTGCCCAAGGTCGCACAGTTAGTAAGTGTTAAGTGTCTGAGGCTGAATTTGAACTCAGATTCTCCTGACACCAGGGCCAGTGCTGTATCCACTGCACCACCTCGCTGCCCCTGAACACAGAACTCTAAAGCAGTGATAGCAGCTTCATATTGATTTTGGACATCACAAGTTAACATTATCTGCATTTATTTTGTATTTATTTTGTTAAACATTTTCCTGTTAGTTTTTAATCTGGTGCGAGAGCACCTGGAGTTTTTGAATTTGATATCTCTGCTCTAGAGCCAGTCTGATCAGGACAGATTGCAGCAGGTCCTATCATCTTCCTTGCTCTGGATACTGTACTTTATTAAGGCAATCTGAGATCACATTAACTTTTTCTTAGCAGCTATATCACTCAAGTTGTCTCACATTAAATCTTGTGGTATCTCGCCAGACATCTCACTTCTCCAGCATTTGGTAGCATATTTAAAAAAAAAAAAAAACTTTGTTCCAGCAAGCCTCAAAACCTTTTATTTGTGTGTCTGATCCCCTTTTTCAGAGGGAGGGGCTTTTTGACAAAGACACTGGAGTAGTTTGCCATTTCCTTCTTTAGCTCATTTTACAGATGAGGAAACTGAAGCAGACAGAGGTTAAGTGACTTACCCAGGGTCACACAGCTAATAAATGTCTGAGGCTGAATTTGAACTCAGATCTTCCTAACTTCATGCCTAATGTTCTATCTTCTGTGCCACCTAGCTGCCCAAAGCCCTTGGCATACCCTAAGTTCATTATTCTACAATTAGAAATATAAACTAGCCCTCCTGTATATGTGTAGAGTTCCTTCATAAACTTGCTGATTGTGAAGTGTCCTTTCCTTATATCGCCTAATCCCCAGAATTTTCTAGGTGAAGAATAGAAATTTTTGAATGCAAGAATGTTCCACAAACTCCAAAGAGAGAAGTTACAGAAACTGATATCACTAATGAGGGTTATGAAATATTAGCTTGGGGCTAGACATGTAAGCATAAGCATTAACAGACTAGTTGACCTGCATGTTGAAATGTTGGCAGTATATTGGTTAATAAACTTCCAAGTGGTTGAGAATGGAGGATGATGACAACAGACTGTATTCTCAGGAGGAGAATTAGAAAATTGTTTAGCTATTGGGTTCTCCTATGAGTAGTAGCCCCACTGCAGCGCACCAAAAGGAATTTCATATATACTTAGATAATGAACATATATGTGTTTATTTGGATGTTGACAAGGAAGGGAAAAATCAAAAGAGGTTATTTAATTACCAGCTAGAGCTAGGAATAAAACTTCTCTCCTTCACCCCCTCCCTTCCAACCCAACTAATCTTTTCCTTTGATGTAGTTAGGTGACAAAGTGCTAGATTTGGAATAAGGAAAACTTGAATTCAAATGTGACCCAGACTCTTACTGACTTTGTGATCCTGAGGAAGTCACTTAACCTCTGTCTGCCTCACTTTCCCTCATCTGTAAAATGGAAATAATAGTAGTACCAACCTCCCAGGGTTGCTATGTGGATAAAATCAGATAATATTTTGTAAAATACCCTAAGCTTTGAGACCTTAACACTATACCGATACTAGGTATTATTAAGGTATATGGTTGCATGAGTTCCCTCATTTATCAGAATCTGATCACGTGAAGGACAGAACAAGAGGGATAGAGAGCCTGCCTCAGAGTCAGGAAGTCCTGAGTGCAAGTCCTCCTCTGGTACATGCTGGTAGTGTGATACTTCAAAAATTACTTTACCTCTCAGCGCCCCTAGACAACTCTTTAAGTTCCAGAGAATGTGCCATCTTCATTGATAGAGGGAGTTCCTCACCGAAAGCTCCCTACGCAAATAAAATCACAGGTCTGCTCCAGAGGAAAAAAAAAAGGTGGTGGGGTTTGGGGAGGGACAGAGTAGAATCTGTCAAAATCGCTGTTTTTTTTTCAACAGATGGAAAACGACAAATTCCTTTAAATGACCAATTTCTTATGAGGGCACAAAGTTCCGATCTCAAACCAGAAGAAATCTTGGTCTCAGTGAACATCCCCTATTCAAAGAAGGCAAGGAATTTCTTGGTTTTACCAAAGAGCCTAACACAAACAACTTAATTACGTATCAGACCTAATTTGGAGGGAAAAGATGTAGGCTTTCTGTATTCACAGTAAGAGGTTCGATTCCAGAAAATGTTTTGTTACAAGGAATTTGTGCGAAATTCAGGCACTCCAGTTACCTTATACTCGTTTTACACACTATTATTTGTTACCATACCCCTTCTCTTCCTTCTTTTTACTCTCCCTCCATTTTTTCTCTCTTTTTAAAATAGAAAGTTGCTTTTTTAACTTGAAACTTTTCTATACTTGCTTCCACCTCTTGCTGCTTTTATTTCCTTTAAATAAGATTTGAAGATTATAGTTTTTTCCTGTCCTGGGGGGTTAGATGAAAGCATAGAAAATTTTTCTACTAAAAAGAAATGCAAGACTTAATAATGTAGGACTTACATGACATTTCATTTCCCTACTGAGTGTTTTCGCTGGCTGCCCTCCAGGCTTAGGATTCTCTTCTTCCATGTCTTTTCCTCTTGGTTTCCTTTAATTCTCAGAAGGCCCGACCTTCTGCTGGAAGCCTTTCCTAGTAGTCTTAGGGCCTTCTTTTTGGGATGAGCTCCAATTAGTTCTGTATATATCTCATTTGCACACAGTTTGCAGGTTGTCCCCATTAGAAGATGAGCTTCTTGAGAGCAGAGAGTTTTTTTTTTTGCCTTTCTTTGTAGATACACTATTTAGCACAAGGCCTGGCACATAGTAGGTGCTTAACAAATGCTTGTTGACTTGAGTTGACTTGTCCATGGCAATGGTAAAGAACCTAGACAAGCGTGGTTCTTCTTCCCATAAGAATGCCCACGTTAACCTATCTGGGTCAGCGAGGTGGTGTGATAGAGAGCTAGGCTTGGAGGCAGGAAAACCTGAGTGTAAATACATCCTCAGACACTGACTAGCTGTGAGACCCTGGGCAAGTCATTTAGCCTCTGTCTGCCTCAGTTTCCTCACCTATAAAATGGGGATAACAATAGCACTTACCACCTAGGGTTGTTATGAAAATCAAATGAAATAATTTGTAATGTAGTTACTACAGTGCATGACACATAGTAGGTCCTTAATGAATATTTGTTCCCTACCTCTTTTCCTCTCATTCTGGACACAGGGAAGTCTGAGATATATCAGTGAGGGGAAATGGGGAAAAGAAATTCAGGTATTCCTTACTGGGAAGTGGAGACGGAAAGGTGTCATATTGATACATCTTATTTTTCATGTTTCTGAAAAATTCTTTAGAAATATAATTATTCATTCAAATATCATTATTATATTGAAATGGGGAATGTTGCTGAATGGAGATGAGGTGTGTCACATGGCTAGGGTCACACAGCTAATTATTGGCAGAACCAGACCTAGAATCCAAGTCTTACGAGTTCACTTTCCATTATACCATTTATATTTCATATCCTCTGCGGAAGATAGCTATCTAAAGCAGATATGTGGTGGATCTCTTTTGTAAAGTGAAGAACCCTTTTACAAAGTGAATAAACACCTTTTATCTTTTTTTTAACCTCTTTTGGATTAAAAAAAAACAACAACAACAAAACCCTGAATGATTTTCTGAAGGCAAAGCATGGTTTTTAAAAATTAAACTTTAATAGCTAGCTTAATGGCTAGTCATCCAGCAAAATTGTGTGCCTGTGTGAATGCATATGTATGCACATATTCTTAGCTACTGAATAACCTGCAATTTTAATGTTTTTCTCTGCTTAATTTTTGTCCTTAGTGGGAATTTGTCTCAGCCTTTCGACAAGCTCCACGTCAGCAAAATGCCCTGGCATTTGTTGTTTCTGGAATGAGAGTCCTTTTTGAAGAAGACACAAACATCATTAAAGACATCTCTATTTTCTATGGAGGCATTGGTTCCACCACTGTCTGTGCTAAGAAACTTTGCCAGAAACTCACAGGAAGGTAATGACGAGACATTTCTAATATATTGCAACATAGACTCCTTTATTGCTTCAAAAGTCTTACTGGTGTGGGTAACTGTCCCATAGACATTGATTGCAGCCCTTTCAGGCCTTACTAGACAATTGCAGGAGCTACTAGGGACATGCTCCTGCTAAGGACTTACTCCGCACTAGGCTAGTCCTTAGATAACAGGAAGAGTTAATCAGTGGGCCCAAACTTGAATTCCTTCCAACTTAGTAGGATTTGCCAGAGCTGCCACTTTCGTGGTCTTGCTGTTAAAAACCCATGATCCCTTAATGGTGAAGTAGCAAAGCTGACCTAAGTATAGTAACACATGATTCATTCATACATTTATTCATTACTCAGTTCAGACCTAAGAGTTCATCAGTGTAGGGAACTTCTGATATGGAAACTCTCCCACCAATCAATCCACAAGCATTTATTAAATACCTAACATGTGCCAGGTACTATACTAGGTTCTGTGGATAATAGAAACCAAAATGAAACAGTTCCTGCCCCCCCAAGGAGCTTACATTCTAGCAAATGTTGCAGACCTGCAACTTAGCTGCACAACAGAGAGTTTCCTAGGACACTAAGAGGTTAAATGCCTTGTCCATGATCATATAGCTGGAGTATTTGAACCCAAGTCTTTGTTTCATCAAAGCCATAATTTCTTTTTGTGATTACCAGGAAAGATACACATGGGATCTACACTAAATTGTATGGAATTTAATTAAGGTTTCATTGTTATTTACGAATGATATTGTCTTAGTAAAGCCTAAAGTGAGCCTCAAGTAGTGATATTACCATAAACTCTAGGGCTGGAAGGCACACTAGAGATCATTTAGTCTAATTTTCTCATTTGATGTATGAACAAAATAAAGTACAGAGAAGTTAAGCAATTTTCCTAGGGTTACACAGCTTGTAAACAGCAGAGGCAAAATTTTAACCAAGGTTCCCCAATTCTAAATCCAGTGATTTCTCCCCTCTACTATTCTTGAGCATGTATTCATGTATGTGTGTGTTTGTGTGTATATGTATGTGCACATGTGCATACCTTAGGGCTGTCTTGCAAATGAGTACAAAGAACTTGGCTCTTATATACTCAGGCATTTATCAGTCTGTTTCCCAATAATAGCTTTGAAGAAAGCAAAATCAATAAAATATGTATTCTTTGTCTTGGGAGAGTGACTATTTACCAGGTTGAAAAAAGCATGTGCAATTTAAATATAGCCTGCCAAATATGCACGTACACACTTTTTCTCTCTCTGTATATGTGTATATATATATATATGTATATATATATGTACACACATACATATATGTGTATATGTACGTATATAGAAGGAGAGGGAGTAAAGAGAGGTTAGTGTTAGACAATTGCTTTTCAGTACATTTAAAATTTTGGTTTGTGCCCTCTTATAAAGGTCAGGGAAATGAAACTAACACTTGACTTATCTTATAACATAACATAATCATAATTATAACAACTTTTAGTTGTTTATTTCAAGAGCCATGCTTTGCTCCACAGGCTGTCTGAATTTGTAGGCTAATGACTTGTGTGTATTGAATTCTACTTTTTTTATTTTTTTAATCTATTTCTCATAGAGCCTGGAATGAAGAGATGCTGGGTGGAGCTTGTAGGTCAGTTCTAGATGAAGTTTTCCTCCCAGCCTCAGCTCCAGGTGGAATGGTGGAATACAAGAGATCCCTCATTGTCAGCTTTCTTTTCAAATTCTACTTAGAAGTGTTGCAGAATTTGAAGATGATGGTAAGTTTAATATAGTGTTTAGGTTTTGTTTCCTTCTTCTGAAGGACACTGTTAAGTATCAGTGAAGAAAGTACTCTGTGGTTTACTAGATAAGATTATCACAAAAAAGTTCTCATTCCATACACAAATATGGGAAAATTACTCATCCCAACATTTCTTAGAATGCTGAAGATAAAATAGAACACATCATACTTGTGCAAAATTCACATCCTTGATCTATGTACTAACCTACTGTTGCCTAGGACAAGACTTGGTCTTTAGCTAGGTGGACATCTCTGGGAAGTGTCATCCATTGAAACTCATACTTCTCTTCAGTGCAAACAGATTTAGAAAAATGCCAATAATTTCATTTTTTAATCCCTGGATGTGTAGAAAATTTGCATTCTTTGAGTATGAATAGATTTTCTGCCCACAAAGAGACCCTATGGAAAGAAAGGAAAGAATGGCAGTCAGTGAAAATAGGTTTGTATCCTGCCTCAGATACTACTTGTAAGATCAAGTCACTTAATCTCTCTCAGTCTCAGTTTCTTCATCTATAAAATGGGACTAACAGTACCTGTAGTGTCAACCTTACTAGGTGAGATCATGTACAGTGTATGACAAGTTTTGCAAATCCTCAAAATGTTAGTTAAATACTATATTATTATGATTTACTCATATGGTTTACTTGTGGTGATATGCTATTCTTAATATAAATCTCATCTCTTATTATTTACTCATCTGCCTTATTTGCAATGATGTGCTACTCTTAGTGTTCAAAGAGAACCCTAGTGACCCATCATCAGCAGTGATAACTGATTTGTGCAGCTCCATCTATACCAGGGGTCCTTAATTGTTTTTGGCTCATGGGCCCTTTGGCAGTCCAGGCAAGTCTGTGGAGCCCTCCTCATAATAATGGTTTAAAATGTTAAAATAACATGTATAATTATGAATTTTTTGAAATACAGTTATCAAAATATTTTTAAAAAGATAAACATTTCATGGATCCCAGGTTAAGAGTCTCTGTTCTTTCTCTTTTGCCATGTATCTTTTTCTCCTTACATGTATGAGACTAATGCTAGAGATGTGATATAGTGGAAAGGTCATTGGAATGGGACTGAGAACTCTGAGTTATATTCATAGCTCTATCCCTAGGAGCAGTTTCATTTCTCTGTACCTCCATTTTGTCATCCTTATAATTTTTTAGATAGGGTAGCTAGGTAGCACAGTGGATGGAAGGCCAGGTTTGGAGTCAGGAAGACCTGAGTTCAAATACACCTCAGATACTTACTAGCTGTGTGACCCTGGGTAAGTCACTTAACCCTGTTTGCCTCAGTTTCCTCAACTGCAAAATGAACTGGAAAAGGAAATGACAAACCACTGCATCACCTTTGCCCAGAAAACCCCAAATGGAGTAACAAAGAATCAGAATGACCAAAATGATTCAACAACAACAAAATAATGTTAGATAAGAGACAGGTTGGGATAGTGCAACGAATGCTAAATTTGGAATTAGAACACTTCAGTTTGAGTCCTCTCTCAGATATTTAATATTTGCATTATTATGGACGAATCATTTAACATCTTGGAGCTTCAGGTTTTTTCATCCACGACATGAATACTTGGACTATCTGTCTCACAGGGTGGTTGTGAGGGAAACTTTGTTTAAACCATAGAATTCCATATGAATATGAATATGATTATGATTATTATCCCCAAGGACTCTTCCTTTGGTGATCACTGCGATCACTTCCTGAAATTGATCACTTTGCCCAAGAAATGACAAGTTTCTTCTAGACTTTATCTTTCCTCTATCTTTTCCTACCACTAGGTCTTTGAGATTGGAAGGGAAAAAAAGTGTTATTTTCCTGCCAAAGGTGGGAGAACTGAAACCCAGTGATATTTACTTTTACTAAATAGTGATGTAGTCTATTTTTGAGGAAGAAGTTTTAAAATAAGCATATGGATCAAAAAAGGAAAATAAAATCATTTCTATTAAAGCTCAGTTCATGGCTTATTACTAAAACCTTTTCCCTGGTCATGTGGTGAAACTAAGAAAAAGAATCTTCTCATTCTTTGATATATCTGTTATTGATGTGAGATGGGCTCACTATGGATCACAACCCATCTATAACTTTTTATCCTGCTCAACTCTTGCCCATATCCTCCCAGAAATTCTCCACAGTGGCCCACCAAGTGTTCTGAAGCCATCCTTTAGATCAGCTGTGTCAAACTCAAATAGAAAGAAAACCCTGATGGTACATGTTGCTTTAGAA